CGCGGTGCCTGCTTGAGTCCATAGAGAGCCTTCTTGAGTCGGCAAACATAGTGAGGTCGAGCTGGATCCTGAAACCCGGAAGGCTGACTGGCGTAAACTGTCTCCTGTAGCTGACCATGGAGGAAGGCATTTTTGACGTCTAGCTGGTGAATGGGCCATCCTCTGGACAGAGCAATGCTAAGAATGATGCGAACTGTAGCAGGTTTGACAACGGGGCTGAAGGTCTCGTCGTAGTCGACGCCAAAGCGCTGGTTGAAGCCGCGGACCACCCAACGGGCCTTGTACCTGGATAACTCACCTGATGGGCCAAGTTTGTGTCTAAAGAGCCATGTACCCGAGATTATGTTTTGGGTGGGGGAGGGGGGTACTAATTCCCATGTTTCATTCTTAATCAATGCATTATATTCATCACACATAGCAGCGTGCCAGTTTGGATCTTTTAGTGCACTACGGTAAGTTGGAGGTAAGGGGGAGATAGGTGAAGAGGCAGTGAGGTTCAGAATTTGTTTTGGGCAAAAGATTCTAGCTTTGGATCGGGTTTGCATGGGGTGGAGATTGGGAGGGGAGGAGGGGGGTTGGGCCGTGGGAATCTACTTCTTGAGCTGCTTTGTCATTCACGACCTCTACCCCGAGCGCCGTTGCCTCGCCCGCCGTCGCGTCCATAGCCGTTGCGCTTTCCGGAGGAGCCGCCCTCACCGTAGCTGCCGCCGTGCTGGAGCCTGCCGCCATGGAAACCACCGCTGTCGCTGCTGCTGTGCTGGGGTCCCCCGCTGCCGCCGCTGGACGGTTGCCGACCACCGCCGTTGACGCCGGGCCTGCCGGCAAGGAGGGCCGTGCTACTCAAGTCGGCCATGGGGTTGCGTTGTCGGTCCAAAAGCATGAGAGCAGAGCGGGCTTGGAGAAAAGTGGGCAGCGGATCCTGAAATTGAAGAAAAGACGTCTGGGCTTGCAAATCATCGGGGAGACCACGGAGCATCTGAAGAACCAATTGATGTTGGGACACCGGGGCATCCACATCGTCTAGCCAGTCTGCAAGATTTTGCAGATGTTGACAGTAGGTTGCCATAGAAGTGTTGCCTTTGACAGTGGTACGGAACTCGTGCTCGAGTTGCATGGCACGAGCATTCTTGTTGTCGTGAAAAAGATCATGGATAACTTTCCAAAGAGCAGAAGCGGTGGAGACAGATGAGATAACCAGATCCGAGACTTCGTCGGAGATGGTGGATAAGATCCATCCCTGGAGGAGAGCGTCAAGTTGGAGCCACTCATCGTCGTCTTCGGAGAGAGGGACGATGGAGCCATTGATGTAGCCTTGGAGATTGAATCGGCGAACCAAGAGGAGGAAAAGGCGACTCCACTTTTTGTAGTTCGGTTGAGAGAGACTAAGAAGAACCGGAACGTGGAGTTTGACGTTAGAGAC